ATACTAATACAATATTGATAATAGCAGCAAATGCAGAAATGGTAATAACAAAGCCCTTGTCTGGTCTGTTCTCTGTGCCAGTTCAGTGCCCCAGCAGCTGTAAACCAGCTCCTGCTGCACCGGAGCAGAGCCTGCATCCACGTGTGCTCCCTTTGTCCTGCTGCCACTCACCCCCTTCATTATTTAGCACATTGATACACTACACTCCTGCACCCACCAGAGCAGAGAATCAATTCAAATGCAGCTGTAAGAGGAGAACTTCTCCACAAACAGCAGGTTGTAAGGAGATAAGGTTCTCTAGGCTTCCATCGCAGCCGAGTAGCAAGAGCTGGGCTTCATGTGCTTCAAAGCACTGTTCTGCTTTGGAAATGTCACTCCAGCACTGCAACAATAACAGCAGGATGTGAGTGACTGTTCAGCTGCAATGTCATCAGCATAATAATAATAATTTTTAAAAATCACTTAAAATGTGCCATTTATTGCAGTGTTTTGCTGTGCAATCAGGAAGGTCACCACAGGAGGGAAGCAGCGTTTCACTTTTGTTTCTTTAGTAGTCTAAGTTAATTAATTTTTTTTTAAAATGTATATTTTGACCATTAGCGAAACCTCCCTCACAGAATCATAGAATGGCCAGGGTTGAGGGGGACCTTAGAGGTCATCTCATTCCAACCCCCCTGCTATGGGCAGAGACACCTTCCACTAGACCATGTTGATCCAAGCCCCGTCCAACAGGATTCCTGCAGTAGAATCTGCCACCCGTAGAGATTCCTACCAGCACCTCTGATGCTGCACATTAAATAGCAATTTTTAGCCTTTTCAGTGACCCCTTTTCTACAGCAACTGAAGATCAAAACTACAGAGCTCTGCAGAAACACATAAAAGCAAGTGGAAGCATCACTGTTCCTTCTGATATTAACAGAGACAAGATAAAGAACCTGCCAAAGCAGTCCACAGGAGTAGGCATGGGGCTTTGCAGAGGTCAGGAGAGAAACATAACATTGTTCTCCACAGCAATATTCTCTCCAACTGATGGAAATTCCCTCAGAAGCTCAAACTTCCCATTCCAGCATTTACTGCAGAAGAGGTGTGTGCCAAGGCATTTGGAACGATGAGTTTGGGCTCCTGGAGATGTGCTGAAGGACATGCACTACCAGAGGGCACAGGGAGGCATGAGCAGGACTTGGCAGACTCTTCATTCTCTTAATACTTGGCCAGTTCCTGATGTCTGATGGGTTCCTCAGCCACAGGGATCCCTCTGTGTAGTAGAATTCTTTCCCTTGGTCATTCCAGGAAAATAAACTCTGCTCAGTTTAACATCATTTTGACACAGCACTGCAGTGGTGGAGATGGATACCAGTTGCTTTGCTATGGCTTTTTAGGGGATGGATTATATTAGCTTGGAATCAGCCTAAAATTTGCTGTTGGAAATTCTGGAATGAGAGCCAGCATTCCTCAAAACCGCATCTAAACAGAAGTATTGTGCATCATATGGAGTCAGGGAAACCTCCATCATGTCGTCTCCGAAAATGAGGCTGCAGTCTCATTAGCTTTCAGGAAGAGCCATGTGGAAGTAAATCTGAAAATAGCAAGTTGTTACATTTCTTCAGATTCTCTGAGGAGGAAGATCAGCAGTTGGACTCCACGGTTCTTTCCTGCTTTTGCTTCCTGTGGGACCTTTGGCAAATAACCTCATCAGTCATGTCTCTCTTTCCCATCTGTCAAAAGGAGGATGAAAGAGATCTGAGAAGACTTTCACTTAAAAAGTAAAGACTTTGATACTATGGCCCTGGGTAGCACTGATAAAAATCAAAATCTTGATGCCTGAGACAGAAGTTTCAGTGCTGATGCAATTTGTCAGCATCTCATACTTGTTCCCACACAAAGCTGACTCATCAGAGAACAGAGATTTATCACACTGTATCATCATGTGATGGCAAAATTCACCACCATTGACTGCGAGCAAACAGTGGAGAGAAAAACTGGTGAAGTATATAAAATATTTTAATATGTTGAAGTATATAGGAAATAACCCTGACAATCATGAAATCATAAAATATCCTGGGTTCAAAGGAACTTTAAGGATCATGTAGTTCCAACCCTCCTGCCCTGGACAGAGACACCTTCCACTAGAACAGGTTACTCTGAGCCCCGTTCCAACCTGGCCTTGAACACTTCCAGGGATGGGACAGCCACAGCTTCTCTGGGCAACCTGTGCCAGGGCCTTACCACCCTCACAATAAACAATTTCTTCCTAATATCTAAACCTACTCTGTGTCAGTTTGAAGCCATTTCCCCTTGTCCTGTCACTCCAAGCCCTTGTAAAAAATCTCTCTCCATTCTTCTTCCAGGCTCCCTTCAGGTACTGGAAGGTCACAAGCAGGTCACCCCAAAGCCTTCTCTTTTCCAGGCTGAACAATCCCAATTCTCTCAGCCTTTCCTTGGGGGAGAGGTGCTACATCCCTCTAATCAACTTGCTGGCCTCCTCTGGACTTGCTCCAACATAATGTATATGGGGATCTACTGCTACATTCCTTGGCCACAAACCCCATTGCTCTGGTGCTCCCAGTACAACACACAGTCCAGCAGGAATTGTGCCAAAAGAAAATCCTTCAGCTGTTGGCAATTTAGGGTTTGTTACCCTCAGATAATCATTTCCAACCATATAGGGCAGTGGTACCTATATGAAATAGTCAACTCATTGCACGATTTAATCTGTGAAAAGGCACTTTTGATGTACAGTGTTTTACATCTCATGCACTGCAGGCAGTTTGCAAGTAATAAAGAGTAAGAATTAATTAATCCTGGCCATACCCCCAAGAGATGTGTAGACAAACTCTAATCTACCAATAGAAATAGAGCAGCTGAGCTTCAGTGTCTTGTCCAAGGCCACAGTGGGTGTCTGGAGCAGAGCTAAAATTGGAGGGCAGAAATTCTGATTGCCTCCTGTGAAACTTATTTTGAGGAGGAACATAACCTTCAAAATATATTGTCCATTTAGAAAAAGCCTCGGTTTGTCTTTGCTACTTTATTAGTACATTGCAAGTACCTTCTGATACATGGGGTAAATATTGACTTTGGCCCATCTTCAGTGTTTATATACACACAGATACACATGTATGTACTATATACGCTGTGTGTGAGAGCAAGGAGGTATCTAATAAAAGAGTTCAGTACCAAACACGCGGAAAAACAGGCACTGATGTGTTATTCCAAGGCTCCACAAGCAGACTGCTGTCTCGGTGGGGACATACTTTCCCACGCCAGCCCGTGGTCCTGCAGCCACCCTGTTATGGAACAGAGTAACATTGCATTGACACACACACATCCTTCGCCTCACAGATAGGCATTTTTGGGATCTCACTGGGCAGCATGATATCCAAAAGCCCTCCCGGTATGCAACCCAAGGGCCTCACTGCAATCCATGATTTCCCTGCAGAACTGCTGTACTCTGATGAGGGTATACTCACACCTACTCTTAGGAAAATTTGCAAACATACTAAACTATCTTCCATATTTCTGCAATTCGGAACAAATTACATTCAATCCCCCTCAACATATACATGGCATATCTCTGGTATTGGAAGGGGCTGCTCAGGGAGGTGGTGGAGTCACCATCCCTGGAGATGTTCGAGGAATGATGGGATGTGGCTTTCAGTGCTCTGGTCCAGTTTCCAAGGTGGGGATCAGTCACAGGTTGGACTCAATGATCTTGAAGCTCTTTTTCAACCTCAATGATTCTGTGATTCTGTGATATCTTTTATTACACCCATGTATATTCAGGCAAACCCCCATGTGGCTTTCAGATAAAATCTGAAAAGAAAACAACTGAGCTCTGTGCGTTTCCTTTATCTAGTCTGAATGTCTGCATGGACAAGGAATTTTTGCGTTTGTTGTAATTAGTGGGCCTGAGTTCAGACTCTAATAATCATTCTTTAGACTTTCTTACCACTCCTGACCTCCCCATTTGGACCCAATAAAGCAGATGAGCTCTATGCCTTTTTGTTCTCAGATGACAAAGTGCTCGGCATTTGGCACTCAGCTTATCTCATACATTTGGGATTTTAATTATCAACACAAGAGCCTTCCCAAAGGCTGGCTGGGCTTTTGGTATGAAGATTATGCAGGGAAATTAATGGTAGAGAAACTGCTTTGTCCATCCGTTCCTTTCACCGCAGTGACTAGAAACTCCACAAACAGCTATGCTAATTCTAAAAAAACACATTTGCAATGTCATCTTTATGGAGGAAAAATATGCTCAGCTTGAGTTTTGTTTTCTGCTGCTCTGTGTGTCAGAACATTAAACTGCCGCGTATAGCAGAGCGTGTGGGGAAGCCAGAGCACAGTCTGTTACCATGCTTTATTTTTTGCACTGTCTGCTTCCATTTTTCAAATGTTCTGACTTATTGCTGATCGTTTCAAGGAGCCACAGTGCATCTGATAGTGTATGAACCATAACTCCCTGATCCCACAGTGGGATTGCTACTGAAAGCAGATAACCCAGCTAGGCATTAAGTGCACAAAAGTCAAACCTTCCTTCTCAGGGAAGTGAAGTCTGTTTGGTCAGATTGGCCAAGAAGCACTGATTTTGCTAAATTTTTATTTTAAACGGGCAGTCTGAGAGCACAGAGGTGGCTGGATGATTAGTGGGACAGAGGTTTATCTCCAAGCATGTGCGGACTTTCTCTTCATATGCAGAGACAAATCACAGAATCATTGAATGGTTTGGGTTGGAAGGGACCTTAAAGCTCATCTTGCTCCAACACCCTGCCATGGGCAGGGACACCTTCCACTAGTCCAGGTTGCTCAGAGCTCCATCCAACCTGTCCTTGAACACTTCCAGGGATGGGGCACGAACATTTCCAGGGATGGGGCAACATTTCCAGGGATGGGACAAACAGCACAGGAAAGCAGGGGAAAAGCCGTAGGCTGCACTGTAAGAAGGAAATAAACACATCTCGGCACCCACGGCACCGGTGACCCGGCCTCGCCGACCCCAGCACCCCGCGGGTGGTCCCGCATCCCGTCGACCTGCCGAGCCGGGTTGGTGCCTGTGCGGCGTGCGATGGCGACGCCGATGCCGATGCCGGCCGATGCCGTGCCATGCCGATGCCGGTGCCGATGGTCCGAAGCCGCCGGGCGCGGGTCCGGGCGGGCCCCGCGGCGCGCGGCGCGGCGCGGCGAGGCGCGCGCTCGGGGCGGTGTTGCCGAGCGGGAGGCGGCTCCGGAGCCATCCGCTGCCGGCCGGCGGCGGAGCTCGGTGCAGGGGTAGGGGGGCGGGGCGGCTCGGGGCGGGGTCTGCGGCCCAGGCGGGGTGTGTGGGCTCCCACCACGCCTCGGCACCTCAACGAGAACTCGGACGGCACCGGAGGTGGGCGCCGGGGGCTGGGCCGGGGGGCCCGGGGGACCCCGGGCGGGCGGCGCTGCGCCGGGGCCTGCGGCGGGCGGGGGAGACGCGCTGCCGTCGCCGGCCTCGGGCGCCTCGCGTCCGCCGCTCCCCCTGCTTCTGCCCCGCTTCTCCTCCAGCTTCTCCCCCGGCTGTTCCCCCCCGCCCGAAACTTCCCGGGGCGACGGGGCCGTGCAGGAGCTCGGCGGGATGGCCCGTCGGGCAGAGCCCCCGCCTCGCCCCCGCTGCCTCGGCCGGTCGGGGGGCTCTGCCGGGGGCATTCAGGGTCAGGGGGTCACTGTCGGGGGGGCTGTGTCGGGGGTCAGTGCTGGGAGAGCAGTGCCCGGGGCTCCGCGGCGCGGCCCCGGGGCAGGCGGCTGGCGAAATAAAAGACAGGCTGGGGAAAGGGCCTGCCTGGGGCTCCTAAAGTTTGTTTTCCTTGGGCTCAGCTCCTTGTGGTGTGCGGAAAATGATTCTTCGTTTCACTTAGATCCTGGCGCTGCTGCGGGTTTGGGGTTTGTTTTCCTTTTTATTCTCGCCGAGGAGGATGGATGCTTTCCTCCAGCCTAAGTCTCCCATGCTAAGTGATCGATTTCCACCGACTTGAGGTGCTGGAGCAGCGTGTTCTCACTCATGTGCATGTGCACACCTACTTAGGGAGCAAAGCCTGTGTGAAAACACTGCTGCAGTGTGAGCGGCCCTTACCCTCATGTTTTTCTCTACTTAAATGCCTGAATGATTGCTTTTTCAACGTTTGTAGGTTTGTGGACCCCTGATGTTCTCCAGCTGAGCTGTATATGCTTTATAGTCATTTAAAGTCAGCCTATCAACGGGACACTTGACTTATAAGTAGTCCTTACACGTGCAGGGTCCATAGATTTCAGGATGAAAATTGCTGACATAGGTCTACATTTTCCCCTGTACCTTACGGGATATTATTTATCAGTCTGGTTTTATTTCGGGTGTCCCAGCTGATGGGTGTTCTGTTATATCAGTGACTTTGCTGTCATTCCATTATGTAAAAAAATGCAGCACTCGCAATTGTATCTGAAACAATCATCTGCTGATTAATGCCAGATACAGAGTTCATAGAAATACCAGTAAGTCCAGCTGCTAAGAACTGTGTGAGATTTCACAGAATCACAGAATAGTTGGGGTTGGGAGGGACCTCTAGAAATTATGCAGTCCAGCCCCCTGCCAAGGCAGGGTCAGCTGGAGCAGATGACACAGAAACGTGTCCAGGTGGGTTCTGAATTTCTCCAGAGAGGGAGACTCCATGACCTCCCTTGCATTTAATCACATCATTGTCATTCAGAGGAATTTTATAGTTTTGACTAGTATGAGTCTTCCTTATTCTTCTCTATTAGGAAAAAAAGGGGAAGAAGGGAGTTACCTAAAATGCATCTGTGCTAAGCAGACTTATCAACTAGTAAAAAAACTACAGGAGTGTCATGTGGAATGGACCAATCGAGGAAAAGAATGGCAGGAATCATCACATACCCAAAAAATCTTGACTGAAAAATAACATTAAAAGCTCTGCTGATGTTTGTCCTGAGGTCTGCTTTGGTAGCCAGGTGTTATGAGGTGAGATCATGTCACAGAAATAGCCTCAGTTTAATTTCCTCCCCCTTATCTTGCCTGTGGTATCGAATGAATGAGATGGGGGAAAAAAACATTACCAGAGTTTGGCTGATATTGTAAAACAGTCAGATTACACACCCAGTGAGCAGCACATGAGGTGGGTGGTCTCTGTCTGGGTTGTGCACACAATACTGTCCCAGGTGGACTTGCTTGGAGCATACTTCCATGGCACAGCCCACTGCTGCTCTGGGGTTAAATAACCCATTGTGCTTGGTGCATTACAACAGCAGCTGGGGTTTCAAGATGTAAGAGATGTGAAATGCGTGTCAGCTGGCTCGTGTTGATTCATGCTCTAAGGATAATGTTCCTTAAGGTTGTCTCGCTGAAGTGAGAAGCGATGAAATTTCAGTTGAATTATGAGCTTCTTAGGACTGTCTTAAACAATCAGCTACAGTGTGCAATAGCCTGTTTTGTAACGTTACGTATCTGTTCCTGCCTCTCCACAAGAAAAAAAGGAGGGTTAGGTTAAACTGAAAAAGCCTCAAAATATCTTCTGTAAATCTGACTCCCCAGATGTCAAAGTCCAGCCTGCACAAATTCTGAGCTTTACGAATTCTGCAAACGTCCACACCAAGTATGAAATCTCTCAAGGGGGCTTCTGTCTCAAGGCATGAGCCAGCTGAAGCTCAAGTGAACATGATTTGGAGACTAGACCTGTGCAGAAAGATGACTTATTCCTGCTCCCCAAATAAGGCTTGTTTCCTCCACCTCTGGGGCTGTGACCTAACCTGGTGTTTTTGGTTTCAGATTGCTGTCAGTGAGCAGGGGCGGAATATTTATAAATCCTAGGAAGGTGTTTTGGAACAGAAACACTGTGGTTCTAACCAGAGCATTGCCAATGATTGACTTTGGGGAGGCTTTGTCTTTTTCCCAGAAAGGAAAAGCTTCCTGGAGAATTACGAGTGGTCAAGAGATTGATTAGACAGTAGTAGCAGTGTGTGATGCTGTGTGAAAGTGGGAGCCAGATCTCGAGTCTGATTCATCCCAGTCTCGGTCTGTTGCAGTGCTGTGGGGAGTGGAGAAATTGTGCTCAATTGTATCACTGGAACTGAGATGAGGATTTGTCACATCCCTCTATTCTCCTCAGCCTTTTTGTCAATCGCCGGCACTTCCCGTTACTTCTCTGCTGCTCGGTGCAGCTGACGGCATGTCCTGGCCACGTGTGCTTTCTTTGTCTCTTACTGTGGGTATTTTTCAAGGTCAAGATGCTTGTGTGTATCCGGAGAGCTGTTGTATATCCTCAGGTGTGTCTCCATGTGTGAGACTGAGCTAATCAAAAATACTATTGCATGTTTCTGTTTGCATTGACCGAAGCAGGAAGAGTCTGTTCCTTACCAAGAATTTAACAGATGCTGCTCTGCCCATCCTGCTGGAAATGAAATGGTCTTTGCAGATTGGTACCAGCCATTTCATTATCGCTGCTCTTTTTAGCAAGTTTTCGTTTCAACAGAATATTGCTTGTCATAGATAGGAAAAAGTTCTTGCCTGGTTGCTCGGTGTGTTGTACTCCAGCAGAGCCAAATTGTGATGAGTGTCCTGGATGGTGAGATGGATTTATTGGGGACTCATTAAAGGAGACACAAAGAAGAATAAAGGATGATCATTAAATGGTTTGTAGACAGGGCTTTTCCCTGCTTCATATCTTTTGCTCAGCTGTCTCCCACCTGATATTCCAGGCTCTCAGGAGCCAAGCACCACATCTCTTCTTGCCCTGTCAAAGGTGACTGAATTCCTGCAGGACACTGAGAGCAGACAAGAAGTAGCTATTCTCCAGTCACTTCCAGATTATGTGACTTCTTCAGTTGTGTGTTCAGAAGAGCTTTGGGTTTGGAGTTAACTGCTGGAAAACTCTGCACTTGTGTCGGTACAAGGTTTAACAGCTTATCAGGTGTGTGTTCAGTTTAGCAAAATCAGGGTTGCCAGCTTTCATCCCCACAGGCAAGTCCTTTCTGGAGGGCTCTTCCTCAATTTGTTTTCCTTCTTCCAAGGGGAGCAGTGAGAAGGAAAAGGAGGAACCTGTTCATTCTCTCCTGGCAAACTCTTACCCCTATTAGAAGTTGCATATTACTTTGTCTTACTTGGTAAAGTCCAGCGAGACGGTTTTTGTGTGGAATAAGGAAAGAGCAGGAAATACAGTGTCTAGAAGCACGGGCATGACAAGTCATTACAGATTAGGCCTTTTGGCTGCAGCTGTCTGATTGCTGCTGCGCTCTCCTTGACACGATGTTCGCCTGCCTGCTGGAGTTCTTATCGCCCTTCTTTGTTATAAAAGACGCTGATTCTGTTTGAAATTTGTCTTCTTTACTGCTGCCCCTATCACCCAGCAGTGATAATAGGGACAAGTGGAAATAGGGCTGCACGTTTGATTGACGTGCTAGAAGAGGAGATTATTAAAAATATCAATTCCTCCTGCAGCGTTTGATGCAGTGCTGGAGCTTCATTAACTTTGAGAAAGCCAAATATTGTGCTCAACCTCTGCTCTCAGTAACTGGACAACAGTTTCTTAAATATTTTCTTTAGAGTGCTGTGCAGTGCTGCATATCACATGTCTAATTTGAAGTTACAATAACTGCTTTCATGGTGCTTCTATGGAAGACTGACTAGGGGAATTTGCATATTAAGTAGTGAGATTTGTTGCTCACAATTGGACTAATACAGTAGGGCTCTGCTTGGACTGCATGGGGAGGGTTAAACAAGCATCTCATGACTGAGCAGTTAATAGCATTTGGTGCCTCCCCTTTGTATTGGAGCTTACAAAGAGCGTCCCACTTGCAGACTGATTTTGCAGCGTGTTGTAGCTGTTGGGTGCAAGCTATGATGGTGTGTTCCTGAACAAGGCACCTGGCTGGGGTTTCGTTGCCATCTAAAGAAGGCAGCTCTAGGCTTCAGGTAGTTCCTGCTGGTTTGTAATTCAACCCTGAATTACGGTTTTGGATATGATTTGGCAAAAGTAAAATTAAATCAGAGCTGGCGTTAGCTGTTAGGTGTTACTGTGCAATGTTTTGTGTTGTTTGTTTTGATTGGGAATGGAATCATAAAAAATAATAAATAAAATAAATAAAAAATAATAAATGGAATAATAAAAAAAGCTTAACGTGGCTCTTAAACTTGCTCTAAATCCTTCATGCTCCATCCCTGGATGTATTTAAAGGGTGTATAGATGTAGCACTTGGGGACAAGGTTTAGAGGTGGACTTGGTTGATGGTTGGACTCAATGATCTTGAAGGTCTTTTTCAACCTAAAGGAGTCTGTGATTACCACAAGAATATGTGTGTTTTTGACAGGGCTTTGCAATAAAAGTAGCCTTTAATGACTCCTTTTGCTGATGGCTGGGACCCACAGCCTCCTTGGGATTATTAGGATCTGTGAATCTTGTGCTGAGAACACAGATAATTCAGTCTCAAGTATTTTTCTGCTGGAATATCACTTTCATGGTATGACACTTTTCGTTTGTAAACTAATAGATTTTGTTTTGTTTTTCAGGTGATAACAAGTCAGTCTCAGAAAATGAAATAAGGTGTTATTTTTACTGTTAATAAGGGCTGGCAAACACAGCTGTTTGGTTTCCTTTTTGGCGTTGTTCCTCCATGTAATTGTTTGTTTGGTTTCTAGATGAAGTGATTTGTTTTACTTTCTCTGT